CAGAGAAGCTGTGGATGCCCCCTCCCTAGAAGTGTTCAAGGCCAGGTTGGATGAGGCTTTGAGCAACCTGGTCTAGTGGGAGGTGTCCCTGCTGCTGGCAGGGGGGTTGGAACTGGATGAGCTTTAAGGTCGCTTCTGACCCATACCATTCTATGAATCCCCCTATCAGTCTCGCTACCATATCATTGTCCAGGCTTTGACTGTCTATGTCCACCATCATTACTACCATCAGCAGGAGTGTTGGAAGGATCTGCTTTCCCATGGTCCTGCGACAGAAAACAAAGTGGGCCTTGGGATCAGGCCTTGAAAATCAGGGATTATCCACCAAGTGCTCATGTGGTGTGCCTTCCCATTCCCATATAGGATCTCCTAGGCATGCAAGCCTTTGGGCTTTGTCAGGGTATAGGCATGATGCCAATAGAAAGCAACTTTACCATGGCAGGCTGTCTCACATATGTTTTTGATGGGAGCTGACCCGTTTCATCATCAGGTTAAGGGAGTGTAGCTTGTTGATGGCCCTGTAGGAAAAAATGCCTGAATCTTTGGGCTCCCATAGTCTTCCCAGCGATTGCTTATGATCAGTATTGCTTGGGGCAATTGTAAGTTCCAGCTGTGGCAGGAGATTTTGGCATGGCTTTTAATCAGGCCATTAGCCCGTTCTACTGTCCCGTTAGCCTGAGGGTAGTATAGTGTGTGAAACACCCACTTGATGCCTTCACAAGGTGCTGTAGGGTTGTGGCTGTAAAATGCAACCTGCTGTTGCTCTGGGTGCACTCAGGCATGGGCAGAATGCTGAACCATCCATGCAGAACTGTGACTGTTTGATCACCTGTGGTGGCCCTGACAGTGGTGGCCATACACAATCCTGACACCAACTCTGCTCCTGCCAGGATGTATCTTTTCCCATGGGATGGCCTTAAGAGCCCAATGTAGTCAGTTTGCCAGGTGCTCCAGAGGGCTTTCCCCTCCCTGACATGTTGGGGTGGGGGGCTTGGTTTGGGTGGTTGGTTTAAAGTCTATTATCTGTCATTGTGGGCAAGCAGTAAGGATCAGCTCACATGCCTACATGGATATTGGCCAGCCTCTGGACTGGCATTCATAGTAAAGGTCTGCTTTGCCCACATGGCCTCATTTAGCATGTGGGCATTCGGCTAAGCAATCCCAGTCCTCCTCTTCACAGGTGGCTACTCTGATTTGGGCCAAATGGTTCACTTGCTGATTCCATTTGTTGATGGGGATTTTATCCCACGCATTCCCTTTCACCCATCCTGCCCTTAAAGGTCACAACCTCCTTATTTCTAGCAGATGCTGACAATTTTCTGCCCACTACACCTTAGTGTGGCCTACTTTCCACTGGTTGGACTCCCAGCGGCGCCTTTATAGGTTGCGTAAGAGTCAATGTAAAGATGGTGGCATGGCTTTCGGCAGCTAGCAGGAGGGCTCATGGCTCTCTGACTTGCGCGCTGCCTTCCCCTTCTTCCTTAAGGGTCTTCCAGGTGCTAATTTCTAGTGCTGCTGCTTTGTACTGCCACTTAGGCCCTATCCATCTGGCAGACGCATCAGGAGCCGCACCCCTTGCCTTTCTGAGTCAGTTGTAAATTTGGGTACTTCCTTAATGGCAGAAGGCTTACAGAGTTCACAGAACAGGGCTCGGTCTGGGTTTATGGGCTGCTGCAGTTTGGAGGCTTGGGCTGGGCCCTTTTCAGCTGCATTAGCTGCCTAATTCCATCTACATATGTGTGCTGCTTTCAAACAGTGCCCTTTTGGGATGCCCACTCAGACCCACCACACTCCTGGGCACCAGAATCCACTTGCTTAGTCATCACTTAACTATGCGATCTCTCCCCCCACCCGTTAAAGAGACACACCACAAATACTCAGTCTCCATCTTGCCCGGCTTGCGTGAAAGCTCGGCCTGCAGTTCAGTAAGCCTGGGGCCCGTCCAGGGAGTTGTGTGAATGGTGCTGTGGAGGTTAACACCGTGGGGATCCGCATGCCTCTCCGTTTCAATAAGTGGCAGTACATTTTTTTTCTTCTCTAACTCCTTCCCCTCCCTGGGGGCCTTTTCCTCAGGTTCTGTTTCTCCCCATATGTTCCCATCCCAATCCTCGGAATATACTCCTGTAATTAGCTTTTGGATCTGAGGAACACTGGGAGGTTTCTCCACTTTAGGTAGCATAAGTTCAATCCTGTGTTCTAATAAATGCCTATGTTCTCGCTCTCTCTTTAATTAATTTTTAAAGCAGTCTATCTCTAGTTGTTTCTTTCGATTATCCTCCTCTAATTTTCCAGAATATTTGTGATGTTCCCATGCCTGAGTTAGGCAGGCACCCAGGATGGTGCACACCATTCCTTTTCCCTTGCCATCCCTCCTTTTACCAGGACATTACTTCACTCTGACCGATGCTGGGTTGTCCTTCTTCTACTTTGCCCAGGCAAGTCCCAGGGGAGAAAGCTCACAGCTGTGCCTCCATAACAGCTCCTTGATCATCATCCTGCCAGCTACACCCATTGATGTAGCAGAAGTGCAAGACTGACAAATATGTGCCGAACATCAGTTTAATAGCGTCAGTACTAGAACAGTCAAACTGAACAGGGATCTTCTATTACAAACTCTTCAGTAGACACAACTTACTTACAGGTTGAGGATGTCAGTTTGGGAAGCCAATACTGTATGGTGTGTAACTAAATCTAAGCTCAGAATGTTGTCTTAAAATGCACAAACCACTCACTCAGTACCAGGAAGTTTCTTTGAATGGCATCCTGATCCAAAGGGAGAGTCCTTTGATTGCAGTCCCACTGCTCTGAGCAAGACTGGCTCAAAGGGTTCTCCTGGCAGGCTCCTTTTATACCTGGAGTCAGATTTGGGCTCATGGTCATGCACAGCTCTGATTGTTTGAAGGGTTTCATAGGTGGGCTGAGGTGGTCTTTGGCAGGCTTGAGTACCTGGGGTACACAAGTAGGGCCTGACCTGCAGCACATGTGCTTCTTGGCTGGAAGAGAGCACCTGACACACTCTTCGGTGCAAGAAGGACATCATACCATTAGAGTGTGTCCAGAGGAGGGCAACAAAATGGTGAAAGGCCCCGAGGTCAAGACTCTAGGAGGAGTGGCTGTCACTTGGTTCGTTCAGCCTGGAGAAGAGATGGCTGAGGGTGACCTCATTGCCGTCTACAACTACCTGGCAGGGGGCAGTGGCGAGGGAGGCGCTGATCTCTCTCTAGGACACGAGGGGATGGGGAAGTTCAGATTGGGCATTAGGAAAAGATTCTTCACCCTTTCATTGGAACAGGTTCCCCAGGGAAGTGATCATGGCACCAAGCCTGTCAGAGTTAAGGGAAGTTTGGACTATGCTCTTAGTCTTATGGTTTAGTTTTAGGTAGTCCTGCAGGGAGCAGGAAGTTGGACTTAATGATCCTTATGGGTCCCTTCCAACTTGAGACATTGTATGATGCTATGATTGTAACTCTCTCATCTGGGAAGAGAATGAGAGACAAGAATGGGTCAAACAGCTAGAGAGAAGCTTTGCAGAAAAGAACCTGGGTGTCCTGGTGTACCTGGTGTACTGTTGTGGCAAAGGAAGGTAATGGTATCCTGGGCTAGGAGGAGTATTGCCAGCAAGTCCAGGGTGGTGATCCTTCCCCTATCCTCAGCATTGATGAGGCCACACCTGGAGTCCTCTGTCCAGTTTTTGGCTCCTCAGCACAAGATAGATGTGCAGCTAGCTACTGGAGTAAAAGGCTAGTAAGACAGTGAAGAGACCAGAGCATCTCTCATGTGAGGAAAAGCTAAAAGATATTTTATAAATACTTGAAACAAGATGGAACCAAGCTTTTTTCATTGTGTCTGCTGACAGAACTAGAGCCAATGGGCACAAACACAAGAAGTTCTGTCAGCACATAAGGAATCAATTTTGACTGTGAGGATAACCAAGCCCTGGCACAGGTTGCTCAGAGAGGTAGTGGAATCTCCCTCCTTGGAGATCTTCACAAGCTGCCTAGGCGTGGTCCTGGGCAACCAGCTCTAGGTTCCCCTGCTTGAGCACAGGGACTAGGCAAGGTGATGTCCAGAGGTCCCTTCCAACCTCAACCATTCTGTGATCCTGTAATGACTAAAAAGTAATGATCCAGTGCTCAAAGATGATGGTTCATCTCTTGAGACATCTTTACCTTGCAACAGAGAAAATTTCCTTAAATCTGTTACAATGATGCTGAGAAAAGTGAAGTGATGATACTTAATTGGAGAAAGAATCACTAGAATTATCATACGCTACATGGCCTGTGCAGGTAGCTTTTTGCAGCAGTCATTGGGATGCAGTTCTGGTTTTGCTTCTCATTACATGCTTCATGTTAACCTCTATAAAATGAGGATGATACAGGAGTAAACACAGCCTTCTACTTTCTTCTAGGGAGTATGAGGTATCTTCTTTTTTGCTATATCAATTAGTGTTGTATATGGGTCTTCCTTTCTGAATATTGTTTTAACTCTCATTCAGATTTTTACTGGACTGAGATCTGTAATAGCTGTTGCATCTTATGATTCAGGGAGTATGAGGTTTGTCAGTGTGAATTCTTCACAGCTGCTGTTAGTACAGTAGAAGTGTTCACTGTATGTAGTTATGCAAAATATTAATTTTTATGATACACGTTAGAGTTTGTATGTTCCTTGTAGTCTTTAGCTGTTAGCTATTGTGGATTATTTTACAAGTGTTTTTACTGAGTTTTTGTAAACTTTTAATAATCTTGGCATCTTTTAAGTAGAGAAAGTCTGCATAAATATTAAATAGTTCCATGACAGAAGGAAGGAAGAGGATCAAAAGGTAGTGTGAGCTTACATAGAAAAAGTGGTAGTTGTATCTCACTCTAGTTAATATCACTGTAGTTGATGTACTCTTAATATTTGTCAAAATCTCAGCTGTGGTTTATGAACTTCTCATGGTGGTATTTGCTTGAGGTTTTTCTTCCTCTCCTCCCCTTCATTTAACTCTTCCTCAAAAATAGGAGATTCTGGTGTCTGGGGCTTGAAAAAGAATTTTGCTTTGTTGGAACTCTTGGAACGGTTGCAGAATGGACCTGCTGGGCAGTGTGGGACAGCAGAAGAAGCCATTGGTCTATCTGGAGAGGTACTGACTTTTTAAAATAGAAAAAACTTTGTTGTATTTGCTTAAAGTTATCTCTAGATAGGGGAAAAAAAAAAGAAAGAAAATCAGTTCTTTGCCAAATGTAATTTCACTAATAATGCTTCTGTTTTCTTTCAGTATCTAGTATTAAGGCTTCAATTAATTGCTTCATAATTAAATGCTAATCTGTGCTGACTAAAGCAGAAAATAAAAAGGTATTGCCAAGCATGCATACTCTTTAACCCTTTTTTAGGCTTTTAAGATTTTTAGAAAAGGTTACTCATTTGGATATTTTAGTTATAGTGACTTAAGGACAATTTTCTAAAACTTTTTAGAAACGCTTCCTAAAGACTTAATTCTTCTTCTAAAGTAGTTACCTTTTATGGTCATTTGGTATCACTGCATCATGTGATAGTACTTCATTATGGAAACTAGCTGCTTCAATCATTCCAGTATTAACAACTAACATGTAACAAGTATCATACAGTGCCATTTAAGGAGGAGATAACTGTCCAAAGTTCCTATTTGTGTATTGGTGGGTTTTTTTGTCTGTAACTTGGTAATTCTTTGTTCTGCAATGACTGTTCTGGAGGAAATGAATGGAGCCTGAACTACTTTACCCTCCAAACCTCTACAACTTCCACTGAAGTGGATTTATAAAACCACTGAACACCTCTAGAATAATTGATTGGAATTGACTGTACAGAAAATGGACAGATATTAGATTAGATATTGGGAAGAAATTCTTTCCTGTGAGGGTGGTCAGACACTGGAGCAGGTTGCCCAGGGAAGATGTGGATGCCCCTTACCTGGAAGTGTTCAAGGCCAGGCTGGATGAGGCTTTGAGCAACCTGGTCTAGTGGAAGGTGTCCCTTCTCATGGCAGGGGGGCTGGAACTAGATGATCTTTAAGGTCCCTTTCAACCTATACCATGCTATGATTCTATGATTCTAACTTAAAATCAAGTTTCCAAAGTAGTCCAAATATTTATTAGTGTATAACTTTTAAAGAAAGTCTGTTTTCAGTCTTATATTGGTGGCAGGTCTTCTGATTTTTCTCAGTTATTGGGATTAAATGTTAACGACTGCAGTTTTCTTTTCAATTTTTTTTGTCAGAGTATCATTCGTTGCGATGAAGATGAAGCCCATGTTGCATCTGTGTATTGCACTGTTTGTGCCACTCACCTGTGTGCAGACTGTTCCCAGCTTACTCATTCTACAAAGACACTAGCGAAACATAGGCGTGTACCTCTTGCTGACAAGCCTCATGAGAAGACCATGTGCTCCCAACACCAAGTGCATGCTATTGAGTTTGTTTGTTTAGAAGAGGGCTGTCAGGCGAGTCCTCTTATGTGTTGTGTCTGCAAGGAATATGGGAAGCATCAAGGTCATAAGGTACTGCTAACAATCTGATTCTAGTTGTGCCATGGGATGTCTTGCATAATTATTTATCCAATTAAAATACAAAAGATTATCAAGAAAGGAGGGTAGATTCTCATTATGTCTTTATAGAAATAATGTCATACTATTCTTTTGTTTTCCCTTCATTTTAGATAGCTGCCATGGTAAAATTACAAGAAAAAAAACAAAGGTTATTTCTAAGGCCACAAAAAGTTATTTATATATTAAGATGAAAGTCCATTTATCTGATGCTTTTCTGAACTCAAAGCATCAAGTGACCAGTTCTGAAAGCTGTTTTCATCATGCAAAGACTAGATTCACCCAACTTGGTGCAGTCTGACTACCCTTCTTTTTTTGTAATTGATTATGGTAAACAGGCAAATTTGTATGTTTTCTTGTATAATTGCTAGATGCATATCTTAGTCTCAGCATAATCTGGAACTCCTGATTGCATTTTAAATTGCAAGGTTGTTTTAAATTCTTCCTTGCCTTTCCTATATATATATGTGTGTGTGTGTGTGTATATATACACACACATACATATTAAATATGTAGTAAAATAGAAAAGATTATTAAGGAAGATATTTATAGTTGATCTTTGATATGTTGCTTTTAATTAATAGCATTCTGTCTTGGAACCAGAAGCAAACCAGATTCGTGCATCCATTTTAGACATGGCCCACTGTATAAGAACTTTCACAGAAGAAATCTCAGATTATTCCAGAAAACTAGTTGGAATTGTTCAGCACATAGAAGGAGGAGAACAAATAGTTGAAGATGGAGTTGGAATGGCGCATACAGAACATGTATGTTTGGTTTTTTCCCCCCTCACATGCACAGAATATTTGCTTTTTGTATAACCAGATAAGGAATTTCTTTGAAAATTATACATAGGTTTTATAAGACAAGACCCGAAGTTCTTATCTCTGTCAAGTTGAGTTTGAGATTTAAACCAATAGATAGAGGGGAACTTGTAGTCCGTTACAATGTTTTTAGGCTACATGAAAATAGGGAGGCAGTAGGGAAGACTGTATAACTGCTAGTACAGTATCGAAGTACTTTGATTGCAGATTGCATCTGTTCTCAGATGGTGTGATACTATTGAGGCTTTTTTCCCTGGTCATTTTTAGTAAGATACATGAAGATATGTACAAATAAACTGCTTGATTTTTGGAGTAACTTCTTGGAGGATCTTGGTGTTAGGGCTGATGAGACTTTCTGTGTAACTGGGACTTGAATGATGTAGCCATCCAGATGCGAACATAAGTTAGAAACCAGAATAAAATGGAAAATGTACTTCTGGAATCAACTGATGTCCTTAATCTTCTGAATCTCCTCACTACAACACTGTAGGTGCCAGGGACTGCAGAGAACGCTCGCTCGTGTGTCCGAGCCTATTTTTCTGATCTTCATGAAACCCTTTGTCGTCAGGAGGAAATGGCTCTTAGTGTTGTTGATGCTCACGTGAGAGAGAAGTTGATTTGGCTTAGGCAACAGCAAGAAGACATGACTATCCTCTTGTCACAGGTTTCAACAGCTTGCCTTCATTGTGAAAAGACTTTACAACAGGTAGGTTGTCAAGAGTCGTGGAACTGCAAATCAAGTTTGGGCTACAGATGAAAGGGTTAGATGATACTCTGCATTTTAATTTTCTTTACAATGTTAAAACAATAATGATATAACATGAGATTGAAGTATTCATTACAAGAGGTTGTTAGACAAGGATAATCAGGACAAAAGCATCAAGTCCTCCAGTTGCTGTAAATCCTGTGGCATGATTCTCTTGTCTGGAGTAATTCCTGGTTGTTTGTGACCTTAGTGGGAAGTAGAGATGGAACTGAAGCAAAAAACCTAGAAGATTTAGGGGAAGAATTTTACAGTTGCAGTTACCAGTATAGGCATTTGAAGATAGTTGTCCTATGAGACTGGTAGGAAAAAAGTATTTTAGGACTAATTGACTTTTGTTAGCACTTGTAATATGGATAATTGAACACATTAAATGTGTAAAGAAACTGGCTATATGAGAGTATGTGTTTGGTCCATTATTCACTTAATATAGTGACAGCAAGAAGTAAATAGTATATGTAGTGAACAGTAAACTGACTGTGAGAGAAATTACTTCATTAATGTGTTATTTGTACTTTTTAAAAAATCTGTGTAGAGCTAGTGTCTGGTTCTTAGTCAGATGTACTTTTAATTACGCAGATGTTCCCACCATTAATGGGTGGATATTAATCTTTTTGTGTTAAGTGTGTTGCTGTATGCCGCAAAGCAGCTGCTCTATTCCAGCTGCTGGAATGATACATAAATGATATAAATATTTTTTATGTATTACATTACTATATTTTTAAATTTATATTCTTATTCCTACAGGACTAAAAAAGGTCAAAGAAGTTTTTTAAAGCTGTGGAACTATTTAGTGTCTGTTAGTATAGAGAAAGAACGACAAGGCCTTTACATTTGTATTGCAATTTTAAATAAATCTATTTTGTAAATGTGAGTTTCTTTAACTAGAGTATTTCTATTTAAGATAGTTTATTTCCAGCCATCATATTTACATTGTGTTTGGTTGTTTTAAATAAGTTACTAAAGTGAAGGCATGCTTCTGTTTTCTGTGTCTGTTTAGGATGACTGCAGAGTAGTGTTGGCCAAACAGGAAATTACAAGATTGCTAGAAACATTACAGAAACAGCAGCAGCAGTTTACGGAACTGGCAGATCACGTGCAGCTGGATGCTAGTATACCTGTCACTTTTACAAAGGTATTCTTAATCTCATGAAAGTACAGCTTTCTATTTTATGAAGTCCCAAATGTAATTCAAAGGAAAGCAGGGATAATATGTGTTCATTATGATGCTGTATTTGTTGCAGCAAATTTAGGCAGTTCAACGTCAGTTAGTCATAGTGTCTTATCATATGATGAGTGCCATCTAGTATTTGAGCAACAGAACCACTGTGCTGTTATAATTTGTATGAGAAACATTTGTTTGATGTTGACTACATCAGTAGCTTTGTTTGAACATTAGCTGCTTTAAGATGGTATTTATGAATTCTAGAAACACCTTTCTTTGGAAACATCCCTGATTTGTTGTACATTCAGCTCAGACCAGGAATCTACCCTTTGTTTTCCCATGTATTTTTGGCTTTTTCATGAGTACAGTATAACATCTGCAGAATATTAATATTTTATTTCATGAAAATAGCACACATATTTTTAAATGCAATAATGCTATTATAACTTTCAGCTTATAGTATTAAAAATAATGTATTTCTTTCAATTTGTTAAATGATAATTTGTCTTATAGTTGCTTTGTATTCACTGATAGTTTAGACACAGTTCATCTTCCAAGTAGTTTTTTATTATTGCTTTCATGTCATTTCAGTACTGTTACTCGAAATAAAGACTCTACTAACAGTTTAGAGAGGAGATATTGCTTTATTCAGCACTGGGTGCTAGGGGTATACTACCACAAATCTGACACACAGAATTTGCAAAACTTCGCTCAGTTACACAGTAAAGCTACATGAAACTCGCCTGTAAGCTGCCTATCCTAATATATATTTATCTATGATTTTCCAATAATTTTGAAGACACGTGCAGTCCATGTTGCTGTGTCTGTTGTGCAGGCTTACTTTCCTTTTGGTGGTCTTTGAGGGCCTCTAGTGATCTTTCGGCAGTGAACATTCTTTCCCACATTGTCTTTTAATGCATTAAGTCATAAGTCACCTTAAGATAATGTTGTTGACTTAGAAACTTCCCAGGTCCTCGAGGAGGATAAAGATGTTCTTGTTAGTAATCATAACTCTTCTTTCCCAGGTCCTTGAGGAGGATAAGGGTGTTCCTGTTGGTGTCCATAACTGTTCCCTATCTATTATTCACATAGGTAGAATGACATCTGCAAAAGCCTTGAAGTGATTAGTCATTTGGTTGTTCTTTGCTTATCATTACTAAGAACACCTGCCCAAGGGAAAACTATCTCTTTCACTAATAGTCATTACATCCTGGAATTTGAACAATGTGTGCTTTAAGATTTTGTTTCCCACATGTGCATGCAAGTGAGCAAAGTTATTATGCTTACGAGGAAAGGCAAAATTATTATACTTATGAGAAAAGGCATATATATATATATGTATGTATATATATATATATATACACACACACACTGTAATACTGACATGGAAAAGTGTGTGTGTGTGTATATATATGTATGTATATATATATATATATACACACACACTGTAATACTGACTTTGGTTACATTTCCCCCCTGTGAAACCTGTTTAGAAAGCTAATTAAGTTCCACACTTAGCCAAGACACACTGCATGAGAACATAAATGCATAAAAATACAGTTTTTACTATAACAATTATAACCAACATTTTCCTAATCCATAGAGACAAAACAGGGAACCAGGAAGTTAACCAGCTCCATACCTCTTGGAAACAGTAGGATGTATCATCCTTTTCAAAATCCTTCTGATTGTCCACTTACACGTGACAACTAGTCTTAACTATTGTGCAGACTCCCCCTTGTGAAGTTAACAACATGTCTGAGGCCATTCTGAGTAGCTATTTTAGCAATTTGTGAAACATCCTCTTGCAATGATGTTACAGCATCTGAGGTCTCGTTTCCAATTTGCTCCCTAACTGCTGAAATGTTTATTATTGTCTTTTCCAGTTCACTAGCTCCTAACCAAGGAATAAACCACGTGACAAGAGAATGGAATTTCATGGGCCTCTCAATCAAAGGATTACTTCTTCTTTGTCTTTTTGAGAAGACCTTACCTATTGTCTTTGTTTAGTCAATTTTTGAGTTACTGTTATATTTAGAATTATGGCTCGTAGTGTACGGGATCCTGACCAGTTTGGAAGTAATGCTTTCCTAGCTGTTCCTCCACATAACCAATACCATCTGCTATCTCTCCTCCTCCTCCTCGTCCTCTCCTCCTCCTCCTCCTCCCCTCCTCCTCCTCCTCGTCCTCTCCTCCTCCTCCTCGTCCTCTCCTCCTCCTCCTCGTCCTCTCCTCCTCCTCCTCGTCCTCTCCTCCTCCTCCTCGTCCTCTCCTCCTCCTCCTCGTCCTCTCCTCCTCCTCCTCGTCCTCTCCTCCTCCTCCTCGTCCTCTCCTCCTCCTCCTCGTCCTCTCCTCCTCCTCCTCGTCCTCTCCTCCTCCTCCTCGTCCTCTTCTCCTCTCTTTTGTAGTTGCATGGACCATTTGCAATGAGGGTAATGTCCTATTGAGATGTTTCCAGGGTCTAATGTTTTATTAGTGGTTCCACATTTCACATCCACTAAATTAGGATCCCGTATTTTCCAAATTTGCAAATTGGTTTCCATTCTATTGGTAAATGTTGGATTTATCCATAAGTTCCACACTGGACCTATCATCCAAGTTATGCCAATACGCAGAGCCCACTGCAGCATTAAATAGTTCATGTCTGTGCAGTATTTGAACCAAAATCAATAACCCAACTATAATCAATACTACTAGAAGCAAATATACTTGTTTACAGTCTGAATTAAAATATGATTCTGTTGTTGTCCAAGAACAGTTCATAAAGTCTTCCGACGTATCTTCAATTTTAGAGGATTGTTCTCTCGTACCAGCACTCCAGTTCTCTCTTGCTGGTGTTGGAGCCTTCTTTTCTCAAGCATAGTGTGTCCACAGATTCACCCTGCTCAGCTTTACAGCAGTGTATATTGTTAATAGGACTTGGAAAAGTCCTTTCCACTTCTCTCTCAGTGGTTCATCACTCCAGGTCTCTAAGTACACCCAGTCTCCTGGTTGAAATGGGTGAACTGGATGAACTGGAGTGTCTGGATTCACAGAATCTCTCTGTTGCAAATACTTGTGAAGAGAAGACAAAACTTTTCCCAAAGATATTCTTTTGCATTCTGTTGCCCTATTATTATTTCATTACTTGGTTCATGTGAGAGAGTTTGATATGGTCTGCCATACAAGATCTCAAATGGATTCACTTTATCTTTAGATTTTGGAGTTATTCTGGCTCTCAGCAAGGCCAGTGGGAGAGCATCGGGCCATTTTCAATTGAGTTTCTTGACAAATTTTGTTAACCTGCCTTTTTAGAGTCTGATTCATTCTTTCTACTTGTCCACTTCATTATGGCCTCCAAGGAGTATGTAAATCCCATTTTACTCCTAAATGCCTGACTACAGGGTCAATTAATTTTGTCACAAAATGAGGGCCTCTGTCTGAAGATACTCCTATTGGTATTCCAAATCTCAGGATTACTTCCTTCAGTAATACTTTAACTACCTCTCTAGTCTGAGTGATGCAACATAGGAAGGCTTCTGGCCATCCTGAAAATGCTAATACTAACAAATACCAATACCCATTTTGCCTGGGAAGTTCTGAAGAATCAGTTTGCCAATAGTCTCTTGGTGTGTTGCCTTTCTTTATTTTTCCAGGTGAAGACCTAGGGCATTTTTGTAGATTATTCTTCTGGCAAAGGTCACATTTGTACACTGTGCTTTTAGCTATTCCTGCCATTCCTATGCCTACACATAATTTTTAGTATTTTCTATTAATGCTTCCATTCCCCAATGTGTTTCTTTATGAGATTTTTCCATTATCATGGAATCATAGAATGTTGTGACAGTAGCTAGGCTTTCCCATTCAAATACATTCTGACTTTCTTGCTCCAAAGGTATACAGAAAAATGCATCTTTCAAATCCAGTACTGTAAACCACTGATGAGCCTCTTTCAATGTCGTTAGCAAAGCATAAGGGTTTGCTTCTACTGGTTGTACATCTTGGGTGATTTGATTTATAAGTCTTAAATCTTGCACCAATCTGTAGTCATTTGAATGAGGTTTCTTTACAGAGAGCATGAGAGTGTTATATTCTGATTGACATTCCCTTAAAAGTCCATGCCTAAGAAAAGTGTCTATTAGAGGTTCAAGTCCTTTTCTAGCTTCCAATTTTATAGAATACTGTTTTTGTCTTACCAGTCATGCTCCGGGTTTCAGTTCAGCTTTTACTGGCTCTACTGGTAGCCCAGATGCTCATACGAGCAAGTTTGCAGCATCCAAAACTTCCTCTGGAGTCTCAGGAGTCTCTTCTCCCTTTCCCCATCTTAAAAGAAAAACTTGTGCTTCCAATTTTTAGATTTTGGAATGCATTTTTCACCCTAAAGAAAGTTAACCCTTGATATTCCATTCAAAGCAATCTCTGCACTCTATTATTTGGATCCCAATTTGGGTTAGCTATTGGGAAATGGTCTTCTATTCTGCCTGCTTGTGCATCCTGCACATGTACTCTTTCAGCTTCCTCCCTAGCTTTAGCCACAGTCGCTCTCTGTTCATCATATGTAAATGAAGTAGTTAATATAACTTGCATATCCTTCCAATCAGGACCATGATTTTCAATAGTGGTTTCCAAAGCCTGTGCTGATATATGAGGATTTTCCCTGTATGTTTCAGCCATTTCTTTCCAAGCCTTTAAATCAACTACAGAAAAGGGCACTTTTACACACACTGGTTCTCCCTCCAGTCCTACTGCCCACCTCAGAGGGGCTTGTAATACAACTTCTCCTCATCTAGTCTGTCTCACAGTCGAACTATTAAGTTTCACTCCCAAAAGCTCTTTCTCTGATTTCCTCCCACCCTTCATCCCTCCTATCTTCCACTTGCCTGTTCTGTACTTCATTACCCGAAGCTCTTTCTCTGTCTCGTTCCCAATTTCCATCCCCTCCACCCTCTATTTGTCTATTCTGACCCCGCGGCACAACTGACAACTCAACC